CTGCAATGTCCAGGGCTGGGCCAGGCTCAAGACATGAGCCAGGAGCTTCTTCCAGGTCTCCCACGATGGGTGCGGGAGCCTAAGGATTTGGGCCATCTTCTGCTGCTTTCCCAGGCTGTGGCAGAGAGCTGGATCAGATGTGGAGCAGCTGGGACAATGAACCCATGTCCTTCTGGGAAGCCTGCAGAGTTTATAGTTGACATATACTTTGAAAGATGTTTGATTTTTAACTTTTCTTCATGAAAGCCCCCTGAAAGGAGGTCAAGTCTTCCCTTCTATGTAAGTTAAGAATTTAAGGCCAAGTTATAGGCTCCATCCATGGTTTTGTACAGGGCCGAGGTGCTAGCAGTGGCACCCAGGGCTCCTGCCTGCCAGCTGGGGGCCTGTCCGTGCTCCACCGCTCCCCCTCCCTGCAGACCCCGAGGAAGTGGAATGCAGGAGGTTGGGAGTATCCACCCTCACCTTCCTTCTGCTCCCCTTCCTGACTTCCGTTTCGAGAGACCCCAGGGGTATCTTGGCCAGGTGCATACCTCCTGCCTTCCCCCCAACCTAGGCTTCCACCCTGAATCTCAGCCTTTTTCCCTATTTTGGTAGCTAGACTGAGCAACCCAGAACCATCATGAAGGTAATGGTTAACTTGCCAAAAGGAGACCCTGGTTTCTCATCCTGCTAGTGGGTGGGATCCGGAGGGGTGCGGATACAGGAGATGTATGTAGACTAAGAATATGAAGGCTGCAATTGCATTCCATCAAATGTACTGTACCATGGATCCAGATACCACAAGTAACATTGTGACATGGTTTCCAGAAGTGGTGAACCTCTCTTAGTAGAATTGTAAACAAAGCTAAGTGCCTCGGGCTGATGGGCTGACGTTGTGGTGCAGCACATTAAGCCGCTGCTTGCAATGCCAATATCCCTTGTCGGAGGTCCAGTTCCAGTTTTGGCTGCTTTGTTTCAGGTTCATTTCCCTGCTGCAGCAGCTGGGAAGGCAGCACTTGATAGCCCAAGTGCTTGGGCTCCTGCCACTCATGTGGGAGACTGGGATGGAGTTCTGGGCCCCTGACTTTAGCCATTTAGCCATTTGGCCATTTGGGGAGTGAACCAGTAAATGGAAAATCAATCTCTCTCTCTCTCTCTCTCTCTCTCCCTCTCTCTCCCTCTCTCTCCCTCCCTCCCTCCCTCCCTTTCTCCCTTTCTCTCTCCTCTATCTCAGTCCCTCTGCCTCTCAGATTAATAAACTAGTAAATCTTTAGAAAAAGAAAACAGTTCCTTTGATGAACAGTGTAGTCGTACGGTGGGAAATTCTAGGTACATCAAAACTACATGAGATAATTTGTGTGTGTGTGTGTGTGTGTGTGTGTGTGTGGAGAGCAGCATCTAGATGCGGGCCCAGATGGCTGTAAATGGACTTCGTGCCAACATGAGTGCTCAGTGGGTGCTCGAGGGTTGTGGTGTGCAGGGGTGTCCTGTGAGTTACTGTGGCAACCAGAATCTCCCCACAAATGTAGGAAACGGCTGGATGATGATGCCAGTGTGCAGTGAACACCTGAGGAAGACACAGAAGCCTGGGGACCCCAGTGAAAAAAGCCTTTGGCACATTCCCGGCTTTATCATGTGGAGAGGGTTGGGGCTGGGGGGAGGCACAGAATGTCTGTTTTTGCCCCAAGGCCGAGCTAGGTGTGCAGCCTTCAGGCTGCCAGTGCTCCTGGTTCTGCATTCCTGTGGTTGAATTTGTTTATGTGTTGTCTCTGCTCCCTGTCTTTGTAGCTTGCTGGGCAGCCTCTCTTTAGACTGGGTTGTGAAGAGCTGTGAAGTTTGTGTTGTAAAATCTATACAAGATACGGTTTACATGATGGAAGGTTTTTTTTTTTTTTTTTTTTTGACAGGCAGAGTGGACAGTGAGAGAGAGAAAGGTCTTCCTTTTTGCCCTTGGTTCACCCTCCAATGGCCGCCGCCGGCGTGCTGCGGCCGGCGCACCGCACTGATCCGATGGCAGGAGCCAGGTGCTTCTCCTGGTCTCCCATGGGGTGCAGGGCCCAAGCACTTGGGCCATCCTCCACTGCACTCCCTGGCCACAGCAGAGAGCTGGCCTGGAAGAGGGGCAACCGGGACAGAATCCGGTGCCCCGACTGGAACTAGAACCCGGTGTGCCGGTGCTGCAAGGCAGAGGAGGATTAGCCTAGTGAGCCACGGCACCGGCTTGTTCTGTTTTTAATACTTCAGGTTATTTGTGACTTGTAAGTAAGTGGCTGAACTGTTTTAGTATTTCAATAAAAAATTATGTCTCTTTAGATCAGTTTGGGTGATGTAATTTTGCTGTGAACTGTAATAAGTTTTGTGAATTATTTCGTGAAGTTGACCTTTACTAACAATGAAGATAAACATGGAAGAAAATATTCACCTCTTAGCTTGCCATTTCAATAGTCAGCATTTTCCCTCTCTGTTCCCTTCCAGATAGGGTGCAGATGTTCTTGGCTTCAAATTCTCCAGCCATGTGGCTGTGTGGTCTAAAACAAATGGTAGTTTCTCTAAGAGTGTTATCTTGCAGTTTCCTGGTCAGTAGTGTGCAGATGCTGATATGCAGCAGTGTGGTGTCAGGGACTGACAGTATCTTTTCTTCTAGTTCTTTCTTTCTTTCTTTTTTTTTTTTTTTTTTTAAAGATTCATTCATTTATTTGAAAGGCAGAGTTACAGAGAGGCAGAGGCAAAGAGAGAGACAGAGAAGTCTTCTATCTGCTGTTTCACTCCCCAGTGACTGCAAGGACTGGAGCTGGACTGATCTGAAGCCAGGAGCTCCTTCCGGGTCTCCCATGTCGATGCAGAGGCCCAAGGACCTGGGCCATTCTCCACTGCTTTCCCAGGCCATAGCAGGGAGTTGGATTGGAAGTGGAAAGAATTTTGTCTTCTTGAGTTTTTACATTAGGACTTAAGTGTTTCCATAGTGTGAACAGTTTCCATAAACACTGCTTAAAAAGCACTGCAATGGAGAAATGGCATCAGGCCCATTCAGGTGTACTTGAGATCAAGGATGCTTTATTTAAAAGATTCAGACAGGAGCGTTGTTTCTGTCCACTTTTACCTCTGTGGTGTAGACAGTGGAAGAATCAGGAAGTTGGACATAACTGGGGTTGAAGTTTTTTTTTTTTTAAAGATTTATTTATTTACTTGAAAGAGTTACACAGAGAGAAGGAGAGGCAGAGAAAGAGAGAGTGCGAGTGAGAGAGACTTCATCTGCTGGTTCACTCCCCAATTGGCTGCAATGGCTAGAGTTGTGCCCATCCAAAGCCAGGAGCCAGGAGCTTCCTCTGGGTCTCCTGTGCGGGTTCCACTGCTTTCCCAGGCCATAGCGGAGAGCTGGGTCAGAAGTGGAGCAGCCGGACTAGAACCGGTGCCCATATGGGATGCCGGCACTGCACGTGGCATCTTTACCCGCTAGGCCAGCCCCAGGGTTGAAGTTTTAACAAAACGAGTATTGACTGTCAGAGAACAGCGAAGTTATGGAGATTGGGACACTATGCGGAAATCAACAGAAGGTTCATATTATAATGATTGACCTTGGAATTTAAGCAGAACAGAGAGGGAAATGAGAAGAAAGCAGAGTGATGAGGGATAACAAAAAGACAATGGGTGGTGGTAAGAGATTACAGACTTGGTTGTGGAGTGATAATTGAAATGGAGGAACAGAAGGTGTGCACCTGAGGTACATGATAGGTTCCACAGAATAAACAGTCTCCTATTTGCCTGGAGACAGATAGGAAAACAAAACAGGGTCAGGCGTTGTGGTGCAGCGGGTTAAGCCACCACCTGCAGTGCCAGCATCACAGGGATGCAGTCCTGGCTCTGCTTCCCATCCAGCTTCCTGCTAACACACTTGGGAGGCAGCAGATGATGGCCCAGTGAGTTCCTGCCATCCATGTGGGAGACCCAGATGATGTTCCCTGCTCCTGGCTTCAGCCTGGCCCAGCCCCTGCTGTTGCAGCCATTTGTGAGGGGTGGGGGTGCATGGGTGTGGTGGTGGTAAACTAGTGTCACTCTTTCTGCTCTTTGTATCTGGCACCCTCTCTGTAACTCTGCCTTACAAATAAATAAATATTGGAAAAACCTAAGCAAACAAAAACCCTTCTTCATTTTTTTTTTAAGATTTTTTTTTATTTGAAAGAGTTACATAGGAGAGGGAGGGAGGGAGAGAGAGAGAGAGAGAGAGGTCTTCCATCTACTGGTTCACTCCCTAATCAGGTGCAATGGCTGGAGCTGCATCCATCCGGAGCCAGGAGTCAGGAGCATCATCTGAGTCTCCCATGTGGGTGCAGGGGCCCAAGAACTTGGGGGCATCTTCTGCTGCTTTCCCAGGCACATTAGCAGGGAGCTGGATGGGAAGTGGAGCAACTGGGACTTGAACCAATACCCGTATGGAATGCAGGCAGTAGCTTTACCTGCTGTGCCACAGCTCCAGTTCCAAAATCTGAGACTTTGAAGGAAATACTGTCCTTTACCTAAAAGTGATTCCAGTATGCATGTGCATTTTTAGTTTGTTTCCAGGCTGCTTTTAATTTTAAAAATGATGCTGGTGAGCAGACTTAACTCACATATAGCTTTTTCCTTCTGGACTAGTGCTTCTTTAGAACACATCTCTAAAAGTAGAATTATTTAATTAAAGACACAAGCATTTTATGGCCCTTTGTTAGTTGCCACATTGTTTTCTCAAGGTCTTACATAGATTTATACTGTCCTCAGTTAAGTAGTTAGGATTTTTATTTAAAGTATTTTTGGGGAAGTAGTTTAATAGATAAAATAGTGACTTTAATTTATGTTACTCTGATTATTAGTGAATTTAAATGTTTAATTTTGTATTCTTGTGGTATTTCCTCTTGTATTATATGTTCACTCATATTTTTCTATAATTAAGTTATGAGAGTAGTTATCAAATTGAGCCCTTTTCAGGGCTTGTGAAAATTAGATTATTTTTAATCTACTCATATTCTTTTTTTTTTTCCTTTTAGCTCCAGTAATAAACCGATTCACAAGGCGTGCCTCAGGTAAGTGAGTATAATATGGATTTTGCTTTACTGCTGATTACTTTAAATGTTCATTAGAATTGGATAAAAAGGTACAAAGAGAGTAGTTGCTGTAGAGTAGGACATCACTTGTCAGTAATTTCCCCAGAAAACGCAGCTCACTAATAGAGTCACACAGTAGGAAGTAATTGAAAACTCTGAGTGGTCGAATGCAGTTGTCCTATGCAGTGAGCTGATGCACCTTTTTAACAGCCCCAGGGTGTTTACTCTTTTTTAACTTTTTTAAAAAATATTATTTTTTATTTGAAAGAGAGTGAGACAGAGTGAGAGAATCTCCCATCCCACTGGTTCACTCCCCAAGTGCCCGCAAGACCTGGGGCTGGGCCAGGCTTCTGCCAGGAGCTGGGAACTCTTTCTGGGTCTCCCCACGTGGGTGGCAAGGAGCTTCAGTCATCACCCACTGCCTCCCAGGGCTGCACCAGCAGGAAGCTGGAATGAGGTGTGGAGCCAGGACTGGGACCCAGGCACTTGGTATGTGACAGACACCCCACCCACACTGTGTTGTTGCCTTTGACAGAATCACGAGCTGTGTGATGACTGGTGGGCTGGTAGTGGTTTAGCAGTTGGATGAAGGAAACAGTGACACACGAGAGGATTTTGTTGCTGTTGCTTTATGTAGGGGGCAGGAACACCCTCAACATGTAGATGTCAGAATTGATCATTATGGGGCCATTGGAGTAGGAGCAAGATGCCGTACTTCTGCCCCTGCAGCCATTGCTGTCGTGAATGTACCGTGGTAGCCTGGGACTGACCCTCACCATTAGCAAGTGCTTACATTGGGTCCCGTAGGCTGTGTCCACCTAAACTGGCAGGGCAGTATGAGGTACGATTAAGAGCATCACCGTACAAAATGGAGTACGTAAAACAGATTTCAGTGTGGTGATGGGAAGCTATGTGGGGAAATGTCACCCTGTGGAATACTTTCTTCACAGAAGACAAGGGACAAAGGAAGTGTTGCTACATTTAGTTTGAGAACATTACTCTTTTAAATATAACTTGAGTTTTTCCCGATGAGAAACAGAAGCTAGCCATTTCAAATAGATCATCTTGGGAGTTTATATAACGCAGACGAATACTTGATTTCATACAGTTGCCTTATTTCCACCCATGCTATAATACTGCAGGTATATTGAGGTTGAAGCTTAGCTTTAATCTGTCAGCAGTTACTGATAGAATTTTACTTTCATTATGTAGAGACTGGGTCCCTATCTCTCACCATTCTGAGCTTTTGTAATATCCAGGCATATTTATTTTAAATGAAGAAATCAGAACAGTGTGCGGTGCCTTTTGTGGGGTGACAGGTTGTGTTTTTGTCAGAAAGGCATCAGATTTTACCCTGAAGCAATGTTATTGAGGGTGACCACGTTCTCGCATAGATAACTTTCACAAGGGAGGAGGAATGAGAGTATTGTGACATCTGGCTTATAAATAGAACGATAGATAAGAGTCTTAGAATAAATGATCTTTCTGCCTCAAACTGATGACACGTGGCATGTATTCCTGGGCAAGTCCTGTTGTATTTGCTGAACGAGATATTTATTAATGGATGGATTGGGGAACTAGGATGCAGCTTCAGTTTCAACTACTGTCATTTACCTGCTCCTCTGCCACCACCGACTGCCTGTAGAGATGATGAAATGCCAGTAAGGAAATACAAATTAGGCTCAACTGTTGCAAATATTTGTTAATTATTCACATGTTTTTAAATAACAGTTGTAACAATCTGATAGGTGCAGTATGAATTTAGTCAGTGTTGACTGAATTCAAAGAAAAATTAATATGAGCTGTAATGTAGTTATAAACCTCTGAGTTTCCTAAATCTGAGTTTTTGATAATCAACACTGCATCTGTCAACAGTAGATTTTGAAGATCTGAATAATTTAAATAAATATTTCCTCTATTCCTGTTTGTTGGTGTTGTGATTCGTAAAGGTGAGTATACTAAGAAATACCTAAGTACGTTATTCAAGGATTCTTTTTATACTTCTAACAAACAATGCCGTGTTAAACTGTCTTTTGTCTTCATTGCTTGCCCACAAACCCGTGAGTTTTTATTTCTGTAAACAAAAGGAACCAGTTTGAGTATTTTCAAACGACCCCTAGAATCTGAAGAGTCCGTGGCGTCTCAGGGTTTCATAGGCTGCTTTTCCACGTGGTACAGTTTGGAAGGCACTGAGCCCAGTGCATGTGACAGAAGCAAGAAAAGATGGACACCAGAGCTGGGCCCTTCCTTGGAGGTTGGGTTGGATGAGTTCTAAAAAATGTGGTGAAACACTCTCAGGTGTCTTCTGAAATCCATAGGTAGTGGCTCTTAGGTGTTCTGCTGACAGCACCCCATAAACTTAATGTTTAAACCACACTCCATAAACCATTTTTAAACCAAGGGAAAAGAAATATCACTTTTGTTCCTTTAAAACCGTTTGAACTCTTAATATATCACTTATCAGTATATCCTCTAAAAATATAGAGAAATCATATACATAATTCATTTTATTTTTTTAAAGATTTATTTTATTTATTTGAAAGTTATGGAAAGAGGTGGAGACAGAGAGAGAGAGAGGTCCTCCATTTGCTGGTTCACTCCCCAGATGGCCACAATGGCCGGAGCTGCGCCAATCTGAAGCCAGGAGCCAGGAGCCAGGAGCTTCTTCTGGGTCTCCCATGCCGGTGCAGGGGCCCAAGCACTTGGGCCATCTTCCACTGCTTTCCCAGGCCATAGCAGAGAGCTGGCTTGGAAGAAGAGCAGCTGGGACTAGATCTGGTGCCCATATGGGATGCCAGTGCTTCAGGCCAGGGCTTTAACCCACTACGTCACAGCACCGGCCCCACCTGCTTGAGAGATAAAGGGAATGGGTGCAGATTTTGATAGATTTCCCATTCTCTAGTTCACTTCTTCAAATGTTCACAACAGCCAGGGCTGGGCTGGGCCCAAAGCCGGGAGCCAGGAACTCATCCAGGTCTCTGATCTATGTGTGGGAAGGGGCCCAAGCACTGGGGCATCCTCTGCCGCCTCCCAGGTGCATTAGCAGGTAACTGGATTGGAAATGGAGTAGCCAGGACTTGAACCTACACTCTGATATGGGACGTGGGCATTGGAAGTAGCTGTTTAACCTGCTGCACTGCAGTGTTTGCCGCCGTAATCCATTTCAGAATATGGGCTGCATTTTGGAAAGATTTTTCTGTTTGATGGAAAAATGGAAGTAATACTACTACTTGTGATTGTACTTACTATTACATATTACTGGTGTTAGTAACCACAGCAACTCAGTAAATATTTGAAGAATAAAGCTTTTCAAAAAATCCTGTCGCTGTCTTGCTCACCTCCTGTGTTATATGGGAAAGACGTAGACGTTGGAGTCTCCCCCAGGAGTCCAGACCTTCTAAGCTGTGTGAATATGCCTGTAAGTTACTTAACCTCACCGACTTGTCTGTCCTTTATTTTCCTTGTCATCCAGTTTGGGACCTCACTGGCTACATCCAGGCTTGCTGTGAGGGTGAAGTTAGGTGGTGGCGACAAAGCCCCCTGCAGAGTGTCGAGGCTCAAAGACAGTGGTGCTGGCCCTTGCTCTGCTGAGTGTGATTCACAACACGGCAGTGGCACCCTTGGCCTTGGGCCATGGTCAGTCAGGAACACGCCCACGGGCCTGGCTAATGCTGAGTCTTCACTATGGGCGTCTGTTTGTGTCGTGCATACATTCTGGGATTTTCAGAGATTACAGTGATGTTCCTCTGTGGTTTTGTCTTTGGATCGTGGGATAAAAGGAGAAATTTATTTATTTTTTAAATTTATTTTTTATTTATTTGAGAAGTAGAGTTACAGAGAGAGGGGGAGAGATCTTCCATCTGTGGGTTCACTCCTCATATGGCTGCAGTGGCTGGAGCTGGGAGCCAGGTGCTTCATCCAGGTCTCTCACACGGGTGCAGGGGCCCACACACTTGGGCCATCTTCCACTGCTTTCCCAGGTCATAGCAGAGAGCTGGATCGGAAGAGGAGCAGCCGGGACATGAACTGGTGCCCATATGGGTTGCCTGTGCCCCATATGGAAGCTTAGCCTACTACGCCACAGCGCTGGCCCCAAGGAGAACTTTCTAATCCAGGCTGAGACAGTGATCTTGCTTAGTGAGTAGGATCAGGCCTCTCTGAATGGTTTTTAATTCTAAAATTTTATTTTGGGGAAAAAAAATCATGCTTTTAGAAGAGTTTAATAGTTCACTAAGCTCCTCTATGTAAGTACCCCAACTGTTAATATTTCACCACATTTACAGTCTTTTCTCTTGCTCTCTATTCATTCTCCTTCCCTCTCTCTTTTAACTAAACCTCTTAGGATTCCTGAATACTTCAGCATTTATCTCCTAAGAACAAGGACATACTAAAGCACTAGCATTTAGCCTTGCTACAGCTCTGTCACTTAATACTTAGTTATCCTAATCTGTCTTCTCTCTCTCTTTTTTCAATTCAGACTTCTGTGTAATTGTCATGAGAGGGCATTGCCTTGTTTTGTTCTTTTTTTTTTTTTTTTTTTTTTAAAGATTTCTTTCTTTATTGGAGAGGCAGAGTTACAGACAGTGAGAGAGGGTTTCCATCCACTAGTTCGTTCCCCAAATGGCTGTGATGGCTGAAGCTGGACCAAACTGAAGCCAGGAACCCAGAGCCAGGAGCTTCTTCCATGTCTCCTATGTGGGCGCAGGGGCCCAAGCACTTGTGCCGTCTGCTGATTTCCCAGGCGCATTAGCAGGGAGCTGGATCAGAAGTGGAGCAGCCAGGTCTTAAACTGGTGCCCATATGGGATTGGCAGTGCTGCAGGCAGGGGCTTAACCTACCATGCCACAACACTGGCCCAAGTGACTCAGTTTTTTATAAATCGACTCCTTGGAATTTTCGAAATTTGCTTTCCCAGATTTTTGAGGTTTTCTCCAGCAATGAGACAGCCCTTTGTGAATTCGGAGAGTTCTGGGCACAGC